CAACAACATGGGAATAGAGCAGCTGCCAGAGAATTCTACATTAATGAATCAATGGTACAGAAGTGGAGGAAGCAAGAAGAATGAGTTTAATAAAGTTTGATTTATCTGACTGCTTTATTTCGCTTAATGTGCCTTATAATCCAGTGCACCTTATGGTCCAAAAAATACGTACTGCACACTGCAGTTTAATGTTGCAAAGCACCTCTTTTTAACTTCAGTGGATATTATACATGGTTATGCTCAGGATATGTCAGCCCATTTCTACTGGAAATGCCTTTTGGTTAAACTTTCAGCAAGGAATTTGCATTTGCACTGTTACATTTTTATAAAGCTTTAATGTACATAAAAACCAGCTTCTTGTTTAAGTGAAAATAAATGGAAGGTTGTCTTTTTGCGCTAGTAATGTTGTGGAGTTGTATTTTGTCTCGTATCAATTATATCATCAGTTATATCGTTATCGCAAATTTTCAAATATATATCGAGATAAATATTTTTGGCCATATCGCCCTGCTCTACTTGCTAGCTCCTGTGTCTTATCAAACCTAAGTGAGAACACATCGGTAGCTACCAGGTGTATCCGCAGCAAGCCTGTGGGTGTCCCCGGTCCTGTCCTATGTATGCTCCAATCAGGCACCAACCTCACCTAAACCAAACAGCGCTGTAGCAAGAGCACATCTAGTGTGGACTAAATCTACTATGTGCTACATATGAGACAGTATAAAGTCCGAAAACACTAAAACTTAATTCGCCTGACACTCTCCGAAATGTCCGTGGGAAAACAGTGACCAAGATTAAATGAACAGATGTAGCATTTCAAATAAAATTTCTCATATTTATTTGAGGTAAAAGCTTTCAAATAATTGATGAATTAGCTTTTACATTATTCGATTATCGAGTCATGCGTTGCTTGAGAAAAGTTTGAGGAGCAATGTTCAAGGCCAAGCAATCAAACAAGTACAGTGTTAATTATATTTTATAAAATGACTGACCAAAGAATTGTTTTAATTAGTTACATCTTAATACACGTTAATTAGGCATTAGTTAATGCCTATTATACCTAACTACATGAGTATATCCTGCTTGCTAGTTTAAATGTTTACATATTCATTATTATTATTTCTATTAGATGAAGGCACATTGGATATTTTTGTAAATAAGGGCAAATCAAATGGCTCTTATTGTTGCTATAGTTGAAAAGAATTTAAAAATAAAAGCAAAACTCAATGATGGGTCACAGTTTACTTAGTCCCCAAAATTCACAGAACTATGAGTAACAGATTTAGTCTACAATGGGTAGTTTACAGTGTCACAGTATCAGAGAGGACTAATAGGTTTTATTAATGAGCCACGGCTAGCAAGGATGTTTGTGGATACCCTGAGCAGTAAAGCCAACATTTATCCACAATGCTAGCAGCAACATGTGACACAAACTGCGTGAGTGTAACAACTCTCTTGTTTTGACTTCCACCTCACAAACTGATCTTGTCTGGGTGAAATGAACTTTCACTATTACGACATCAAGGTGCACCACACCAATTGTTTGCTTCTCAAGGTCTGTGCTGTGTGACTGCCTCCGTTTTACTAAGCATGTAAGCCAAAAGCCCCAGATTTCCACAAATGTGCACGGCAAAAACCCAAGTTGAAGTGCTATTGGGAAATTAAACTCTGAACTAATTGCCCATCGAATTGCTCAGATTTTATAAAACATCAGAGGGGGGAATGAGGCTTCGAAAAGGGACCATCCCTTTCTGTGCTTGTGAGCCACAGAGTATAAATATCCAGGTTCTCTTCTGTGTGACTGCACTGCAGGATATCACGCAGCTCCATCTGAGAACGGGGAGTTGTTAGGCTGTTTATGACTAGTCAGCATTTCTCTTCAGATCGTTATAGAACCTGGGCCATGAAACAAAGCTACCCGTGCGCATTTCATCTGATGGCTGATTACCATATCCATATTCATGATAACTACGGGCACGTTAAAGCACGCTGCTACTCTTCTGATATCCGTAAGCCAAGTGGGCACGCTGAAACCCCTGCGATTAGGGGTGGGTTTTTATAATCGATTCATCGATTAAAATCGATTCTGGCTTGGATAACGTAAAATCGATTCATTAAAATCCTGAATCGATTTTTTAATATAAATTTATTTTGTCCGAAATGCCAGAATCTCTGGTGACATCTCACAAAATTTCAAGAACCACCAAACAGTAAATGAGAGCAGGTACAGGGATTCTGCACATAGACTTAAACACACAGCGCAACCCGCGGATCAGAATCAGTTAGATGTCGCCTTTCTCACAGTCGGGGCTGAAAGCCGACAGCTCGCTGATCCGGGTCCGCGCTTTGTGTTCACGCCCTTTATGCGCTGATTCTAAAGCTGTTAGTTTGATCTCTCTCCAAACAATATTGATCGAACCAGCAGCAAAAGAAGATCCAAACGCTTCACATAAACATCGTCATGAATTCACTCTTTTACTGTTTTGCTTCCATTGCGATGCGCAGCTCTCTCTCTCTCCCTCTCTCCCCCCCCCCCCCCCCCCCTCTCTCTCGAACAGTTTCGCTTTCTTCATTATTCGCTTGCTTGTTACGCACAAGTCTACTGTTGTTTACAGCGCTGTCGGCCGCTGTTTTTTTCCCTTTTACATTCTTCCGAAAAGAAAACCTCATTTCTGCTGTTCAATACTGAACAAATTTAAACTTTTTAATATTATTCAAAATGCAAAATGCTTAGCCGTGTGTCTAATAAAACCGCTGTAACGTCAGAGGTAATGTTCATTAATTAATGGTTTTCTTTCGTTTTTGATGTACTGCAGAATATTTTTATAAAATCCCAGGCCAGGAAAACCTTCATGTTTTTCTGTGTTTTATCCTCAGCTACTTTGACACAAAGGCATCTGCTGTGATGCTCACACCTTGGATAAAGTCTTGCGAGTGTCAGCTTCCTTTTTATAGATACAAAAATATGTAAATGTTCTGATCTGAATTATACTTCTGACTGTCAAAATTTCCCAGATTTAAATCGAATCGAATTAAATCGAATCGTGGATCGAATCGATTTGGGACCTTGTGAATCGGAATTGAATCGATTCTAGAAATCAGTGACGATACCCAGCCCTACCTGCGATTGTTGGTGGAAATTATGAGGTTACTGCGACCAACCATCAACAGACAGAAAACAGGGCTTATTTCATTCTCTCAGTGATTGTCATCTCTCAGGCTCAGACAGACACACATCAATACAAGTGAAAACAATAGACATTGTATTGTTATTGGAGGAAACTAACAACATCTCCCATAAATTCTGGCCTCTACATATCATAGTCAAACACACACACAGGTAGTCTTTCGAGCAACATCCCCAGGATTAAAAACATCTCCACGGCTCACCGACCCTTGTGTATTTTGTCATGAAACTAAATGGAGGGTTCAGTCTCTATGTGACGCAAAGCATCCAAATGCCCCGTGTCTACTCGTCTGTGTGTATGTCAACAAAAACACCAAGGTAAAGCTACACACTTGGCAGCTTTGACATACCTCTATTTATATCATCTCAATAAAAGGCTCTTCATCATATATTGCAGGCACCGCTTTCAGTAATCGAAGCCCTGAGTGTTCACCTGCACATCGATCACTACTGATCCCAATACTCCCGATAACCTAAGGAAGGATTTTTAACGCTGCTATACTAATCTGCTGCAAATCACAGTTAGTATTAGAAGAGACCTCAATGACGCATCTGTTGTCAAATATGCCAGCAAAGGCCTTCTGATTTGTTTGGCACTTTTTAAGGTTACATTACCAACACAGCTGATAACCCAGTGGCAACAGACTGCTCAAAGACAAATAAAGCCTTACAAAAACTCAGGCACCGCACGCGATAGGTCAGCAAAACTTCAAAACAATACTCAGAATTTGTGAGTGCTGCCTTTTCTTTGTAATGCCCCCAAACGTGTCGCAAACAATAAGATTTTTTTAAAGCACTGAGTTGCGGCCAACTTCAGTGTAAGGCTGAAAGGCATCTACTCATGAAGGATGATTTTGTGTTTCATTAATTTTCTGACAGTAGCATCTGCCATTAACTATGCCAATCGTTCAGTATATTTCAAACTGTCGCACACACCATGCAAACGCGTTTATGTTCCACTTAAAACTGTATAGTGACCATTCTGAAAACACTTTCATTTTTTTGGCCAATGTCAATATTTTCCTGTCCACGAGGACTCAACGCGCTGTCATCTAGCTATTAAACCTGATATCTAGTACTACAAAATCTGATATGTACAGCTGAAAATGTTCCAACAAACTGGTTAAGGTGTACGAACGTATCTTTACGCGAAACGGTACATGTTAAGTAGCTTGTTCACCCAATTCTTTAAACAGTTAAGTTTATTTTAAAGCCCACAGTCTTTAGCTTTCCTATAATATAGTGTGACAAAGTTTCGATGGTACTTTATTGGGGAATTCCTAAGAGGGATATTAAATCTTGGGCCAAACACAAACCTATCAAGTTTGGAAGTTCACGGTTAACTTAACAAAAACAATTGCCCAAACTTTTCTTTCATCCTTGACGGACTGGCATCTTTCTCAGAGGTATCTAAGTTGTACTAACCGGGTAATTAGCCATCAAGCTAAGCTAGCTACTAGAAAATCGACTCATCTTTTTTATCTTCGTCGATACCCTTCTCTCTGTCCTTTGCGCTTTGCTACACATTAACCTCGGGCCTTTTAAGCTTTCAGAAAAAGCACTACAAGTGGATAGATGCGAGCTATTATTTACGTTGTGATAAATAAATCTGGATCCAGTAGCTAACGGTGGTGTCCCGTGTCGAGCGGACCTCCGCTACACCGAGCAGCGGTGTCACCATAGCGGGCTGGCCGCTGCTGTCTCCCGAGCCTGAAGGCCCCACCGTCATTCTACTAAAGCAGCCGAAAAGGCTCAGAATAAATCAATGACAACTTATAATTGTTCACCTCTGATACTCGGACATCAATTGTCTTACCTTTGCTTTAGTAATGATGTGTGTGGCCAGTTTAACAACCGCGAAATTTCCCTTCCCGATGGTCCGCTCGATTTCGTAGTGGCCCACTCGGGCTGGGGGTGGCCTGGGGACCGAAGTGTGGCCAGGATTTGTGATGCACCCAGTGGCTGTGCTGGTACGACCGGAGTGGCTGATCCCGGAGGATGGCTGGGCTCGGTTCTGGGAGCCCATGCCTGCGTGGGTCGGTCGGGCAGAGTGCGTAATCCCGGCCGCTGCGGACCCAGCAGCACCTCCGCTTGACACGGCCGCCATCTTCTCGCCTCTCTGCGGGAACAACAAGCAGCCGTGCGCAGCGCGCATCGCGGGCACGCCCCCGCCCTGCGTCATTTTACGTAGAAAGCTCTTCCGCAGCGCCCTCTCTAGGTTGTAACCATAGTAACGAGCGGCGTAACAAATGACTTCATCCAGAGAAACGTATTGTGGTTGCCCTGGTGACAAAGAAGTGCGCATTATCACTCCGGTTCCCATGATTCAGTGATTCCTTGCAAAGTGCTGCGTTCTGTATGAGCAGACGGTTTTTAAAGTGTTTAAAGGTGTACGCCGCTTTACCCTTACAATGGCGGACGAGAACAACGGTCGCTTTGTTATTCCACTGCAATACAAATATACATCTGATATGAGTATGTTTCACAAAAATATGACTACAGTTTCTAACAGCTGAATGCCATGAAGAGATCCCAAATAGAAAAATTACAGCCATTATGGCGGTCGTCCACAGGCACTGTATTAGCTATTTTGGCTGGGTTTTTTTGTTTTTTTGTTTTTGTCTTCGATAAATTACTAAAAACGTGTACTTAAACAACAAAAAAACAAGCAAACCTTTAACTTCCCCCAGAGATGTAGGTGTCTTTATAATGCTGATAAATGGCCCTGACCTTCTGAGGAGGCTTTGATAAGATCTCTTAATGAACACAGAATCATTAAATCAGCGATTAGCTGTACTTCCGTGGTGACTAGCCTGCACTCATACGAAAACATAATCACTGTGTCCCCACCACAAGCGTGCAGTGATACCTGCACAGTGAAATAATAATAATTATGCAAAACTAAATGTATGTATGCGAAAGAATAAAAAGATAAATAAGCGGGGTCACTCACACCATTTATAGAAAGATGCATTACCTGAATCCACTCATAGAGCTAATTTAACATAAGGATAATCTAAGTAAAACGAAAGGAAACATTTCAAAGCTCGTTGCAGTTAATTTTATTCTCTGGTCCATAGGCTCTCTCACCAGACTGTAGACAGCACCCCTTCATGGTGGAAAAGAGTTCCTGCATCCAGGCTGGTCCAAAACAGGAAGGTGCCCTGTGGCTCCCAGACCGCAGAGAGAAAGCAGACTTGTTGTTTGGAATTAGATAACTCATTGTAAATAAGTTTCGTCATGTGCATTTCTAAATGATCGTGTGTAATGCATTTCTAAAGGAAAGTTTTGTAATGTGCAGCTGACTTGTATTTTAATGTAGGAAGTGGCGCATGTTAAAGGCGCCAGGGAGTGCTCTGGGTAACAAAAAGAGCACTTGCTGGTTTCTTGAGGAGTGAATTAATGAATATGTGGGTGGTGTGGTGGTGCAGTTGTTAGCACTATCCTGAGTTCACAGCCGCTGACTGGCTGGGGCATTTCTGTGTGCAGTCACAATGCCCAGCTTCCTCCCCTCCTCCCCAAGTGTTGATTTTAAATTGACCGTAGGCGTAAATGAGGTGTGAATGATTGCTTTTTTGTGTCAGCCCTGTGATAGACTGGCGACCTGTCTACCCCACTTCTTCTCCTATCCTCCAGTGCACCAATGACCATGAGTTGTATAAGTGCCTGGGGTACAGTATTTTGTAGTTTTACTTAAACTATAACTAAAAGCTACTTAAGTAGCTTAACAGTGCACAGGCCGCATTTTCAACTATATTTATAGCTGCAAACGTAAATGTCCTAATGTGTAATGATATGTTTCAGAATGATCATGTAACATGACGGTATTCTTACTTTTATTAGTACTGTTGTTGTTTTTGGATAATAATGTATTATAATTATTCATTTGTTGACGTGTATATCTAGCAGTTCATGGTGATTCTAATTCCTTATATATTGATTGATCAACAATAATGTAATTTATCAGCAAAATAATGTGTGACTAAAAGTTTTATATGTGCTGGTTCTATTCATCTTCGCCTACACACAACAGTTTTTTTGGTGTGCATTCTGTTATTTAGACAGACTGCTGGCTGCAGAAGACAATGGAAGTCAAGGAAAGGAGTAAAATTTGAATCCAACAGCTTGGTTTGCGTGAGGATCCTATGATCCAACATATGCATACATAGTAACACATTTTTGCCTTGGTATATACATAAAATAGATCCAAGTCCTTGGGACAGTAACCACTGAAATACCTTGAAATGTCCTCTTCATCAAGATTAGCTGTAATAAAAACATATTACATGAAAAAATAAGGGAGTGTAGTTCATACCTCGTGATTTAGTATTTTCCTGATGTATTCCAGCTTCTTTCAAATTGACCTGGTTAATACTTTACCAGTTTTGTATTATTATTATTATTATTATTATTATCGTTGTTGTTGTTGTCGTTATGCCTGGTTTCAAGTCACTATATAGGAAACTCACACATAAGGCCAACCCCACATACAGCAAACATGCAGACCCAGATATTTGACTGCTGAGGGTCCAGGAAGTGTCGTCATTACGTCGTGCGTCGGTTTGTTTACTGTCTAAGCGTGCAGGGAGGGTGGGCGCTAACGGCACAGATTTTCACACTGAATCTCTTCCCCCCGCTGGACCAAAATTTCTTGCACAATGCAGCGGTCCTACGAAACCCGATAGTGACAGCCGTTCGCAGTTTTACAGGAAGGCTTTTGTTTTCGACGACAGAACCGAAGTCCGACATGAAAACATGAAGCTGCCTAACCAGCAGTGCTAATGCTAACACGGCGAGTCAGCGAGCTGTCAGATTTCAGGGTTTCATATAGAAGAATTGAGTGTCGCTGGTTTTGTTGTGTTGAAACTTGGCACTGGGCGCATGACTGACAGCGTCTACTTCGTTACGGATGCCGACAGGACGACGCGCAAGTTTATAGCAAATGTAAACACTTCACTGTGTCACTAGCTTTCATTTAGCACCTGCTGTTATTGTCTGAAGGGGCATAGTTGAGCTAGCCTGCCTGCTGTCCTTGTTATTGTTGCTGAATGGGGTGGAGTTATTTTATAGCGTTGTCTCTCCACCCTAGAGTAACTTAAGATATCGTTTCCCAGTTGTAGGAAGACGGTGTCAGGCAAAATGGTGTTAAGAAGCTCCTGGAAATCACGACATAAAAACAGCTGTGGACCTGCTCCCCGTTGGATCCGACCAGGATTGGCTGCCCTGCTCTGGTTATGTGCGATTCGGTTAGCTTGCGGCATTGAGGTGGGGGAGATCAAAACCATCGTCCAGAAAGATGCGGAGTTTGATGCCAACTATAATGACATGGTTACGAGTGAAAACCAGACCATTTACGCGTTTAATCACACCATCTCTCGGAATAAGGTGAGTTCGCCTCCTCAGACTTGTCGGTTCGTTTTTTCACCACTTAAAGATTATTATCAGTCCTTTCTCCTTTTCCCTCTCTTGACTTTCAGACTGAGGGAGTGCGTGTGTCTGTGGACGTGTTATCCAACAAGTCGGAGAGCCCAATCTTGTTTGTAGTGCGACAGAAGCAAGGCGTCCTGTCTTTTCAAGTCCCCCTCATTCTCAGAGGCCTGTGAGTACCCCCCACCGTTTACATACATAACATATATACATCACACGTATGTGATGTATATATGTTAATGTTTTTTCTTACAAAAATCAAGTAATTTAAAATAAAAACTGATGTGGTCTGTAATTTGGTCCATCCCTTAACTCCTTTAACTTCACGTTTTTGTCTAATTGCATATTAAGCTTCCCTTCTTTGTATGTAACCAGAGATGGCCACTCACTGTTATTTTAAATCCTCTAAGTTAGCGTCAAAGCATTTTAAAAGATCTATGTGTTACAGAGTTGAAATTGAAATTGAAACACCAGTATGCATTATGCTTAGTGAGGTGTGGAGTCAATTGTCTAGTCTACAGTAAAGCCAGCAGTAGTTAAACTTACTGTGCCCATGGCAATTTTTAAGTCCTATTCATTTATGTGCAAGTGACATAGAAGAAAGATGAGATACAAAACAGAATATGTGTGGTATGACATGCCAGCTTTTTTGTGTTTTTCTGGACCCAGCAAATGTTTCCTTTTCTTTTTTCTTAATAATGTCTACATTAGTTACTTCACCTTATCCAAAACCTTCTACCAAATCATCTTAAATCAGTGTTTCTCCCCAGATGAGATAAAATGAGTGTATTTAGCTTGTGGAACCAGGTTTTCATTGGCAAACATTTCCCAGCAGGTTCATGTTGACAGCCCTAGTCCAGTTGAAGCCGTAACCCCAGGAGCTTTCATGATAGATGCAACTAACAATTGTTTTTTTTTTTCACTTTCCTTTCTGTAAGTACACAGCATGTCTTATCCTCTTTGCAGACATGCAGGGCTTTTGTTATGTCAAGCTCCAAACTGCCAACCATCCATCAGCTATGTGAGCAGACTTGGCAGAGGTTTTCAGAAAATGCCCCTGTTTGGAAAATGAGAGCCCTTAGAGCTCGAATATATTCAGTTACAATTCTTTGTGCCATTTTTACACTGCAGCAGTGATGTGGGGCTGCCAAAGAAAATATCACATTTCAAATTTGGGCTTGCCTAGAGGTGCATTAGTAGGGCTCAGCACATCATTTGGGACTTCTTACATTAGGGCGTGTAGTTAAATATGACATAATTATACAAGATGTTTCCCGGCTTCTCATCGCAGCATTGCTTTTCTTGGGCCTCACTAATGTAGTGACCTATCACAGATATAACCATATTTCAGGATGTCCTGAAAAAAGGTACTTGGGCGTAATTTAAGAACGGTGTCATCTCAGGCTCAGGCTGCACTTTCCACATGTAGCATCACAGCTGTGAAGATAATGGTGTGAGGTCAAGCTGTCTCCTCAACTTTGATTATTATAGTGTGAGGTATCTTCCTAAGTTTTTCTGTTTTCAATAGAACAAAGATAACATAAAGTAGTATTAAAAATAAACAATAACAGCCAGTATATCGACATTCAATAATTTTTTTTTAGTCCCCAAACATCAACATTCACCCTAAAAACCTGTTGTTGTTTTGGTGCTGGTAGCTTTATCAGGTTTGTGAACATAGACTATTGTTTGTGATTACAGATGGATTAAATGTAAGCAAAGGCTAATAAGG